CACTCCCCGAATGTATTCGGTGGGGTCATTCCACGACCTCGACGCGCCGTTCGGGCCCAGGCAGCTCTGAGGGAGGCTTGCCGCGTGATCTGATTATGATGCTATCATGGAACTCCGCAGTGGGGGAGGGGGGCTCGGTGGATGCGCACCCTCGATAGACACATGGCGAATTCGTCGATTCCTCACACGTTATTCGCCGAACGAACGGAGGTTTATGAATTTCTGAGTGAGTTCCGGGAACCTCACTCGGAGCTATTCGGATTCAAGTTGGCGAGGCTCAGATCTTCTCGGTGAGCGTTGCGTGGAGCATTGTTAGCTCGGGATCGAAGCTATCAATATAGGGGCTCCTTCCGCGACAGTGAATTAATTTCGCCGACCTCAATGGAGCTTGCATCGGCAAGGGGCGCGATCCGCCTTATTCGTTCCCGCGAATTTTCCGCGGGGCAGGAGCTCCATTGGCAGGATTCGAAAAGACTTGCCCAGTTCATCTCATATCCGCTATGGGAACGGTTTTCCTCCGATTCCAGACTTAGTATTCATGCAGCGGAAGGCTGTGTCCTCCGGCTCGAAGAACGAAGGATCATTGAGGAATCCTCTTTTCTTAGCGAGTCTTTCCTTTTCCGGACCTTTGACCGATTCATCCGATTCACGAATATCCTTGGCTCCTCTGACGTACGTGGAGCACGGGAGCAGCGGAACAAGTCGAGTTCCCCTACTCGGATTTAATTAGGCTTTGAAATCCGATCTCCTACCTCTCTACACACAAGTCGCCGCGTCTCAAGCTGACCTCCTTCCTCGTAAGATGATAGTAGCCAACTCGGACCGGAGCAGGATCGGAAGAATGGCCTCAAGAGAATAAACTCGGGAAATTCTGTCTCTCATCGACTTTTCCGGTTTCCTTTGCCTTCATTCCCTTGCGTTCTCTTTCCCGTCCTGACCCCTCGGTTGAGTCATGCTCGTGGTGGCTGTGAGACTTGATCGCGGGTACGCCCGACATGGCTCCGAACCAATCCGCAGAAAACCTTGGGTTCCCGACCCGGCATGGTGGTAGTTTCCGGAGCTTGAAAATACAGTGAAGCCTCAGTTAAGGAACGTAATCCGTTCCACAGAGTCGTCCGCCGAGCGGAAAGTCCTGAGTCAAAATCCGTTTCTTTTCCATTCGATGGCACGGTCTCGCTGCTGCCTCCCGAAAGCAAAGTCCATCAGTCTGACTGGGGGCTCTGAGAAATGGGGTCGAAGGCGCAAATTCCGCCTCCAGAAGGAGAAGAATTCCCGGAAAGATGGAGGAATCTGGTCATACCCCGAAATATGATTCGTAATCTGAGGCTATGTTTTCCAAGGAAATAAATTCGTCATTCGAATGTCTATAAATGGGCCGTTTGGTGAACGACATTCCACCGTGTATGATTCAACGGAGCAGACCTCGATGAGCTACCCCGCCTCGGTCCAAGGAGGAATCAAAGGAGCCAGGTATCCGAGCAGCTCAGGGCGCGTGAATTCACCCTCCGAAAGGTCGCTGAGAGATCTTGCAATTCAGACGCACAATGAAAACCAGAGCAATTCTCCCAGAGTTAAAGGATTCGCTCGATCGAACCGAATCTATACGAAGCCCCAGGGAGTCACGTTGGCGGGAGTGCTTAAGGCGAACTGCGATGCTTCCGCGGGATCGAGCAAAAATAGCCAACGTCAGTCAGGCGGGAAACTTCCCCATAGGTGAGGAAGTGAGATGAATTCGAATCAAGGGGAAGCTGGCGACCTCATTCCGCCGGATATCGTGAGCTCGGTGCTCAGTCGATAGAACAGCGACTTAATCCTTTATTTTAAATTCAGTTCCGAAGCTCGCCGGCTCATCATTAAAATCACTTGATCTTCCAACAGCTCGTAGAGCTCATCGGCTGCATATATTCAAAGTAATGGGAAGCCTTAATCGAAACTCCGAATTTCGCTCTCGAGAATGCTCCAAAATCCAGTATATCCTCCCCCATCGCCGGGATCAGCGGTCAGCTCTGAAATTCACGCGGACCGCAACAGGCGAAGCTTTCCCGCTTCCCGCGCTAAGAGTTGCGAAGTCCCGTCAAGATAAAGGGATAGCAACGCAGTCGAGACGCTTCCTTCCGCTCCGACGGCTTCCTCCTCGGTGATCTGCCTCCTGGACCGCCCCGAATGATTGTCGCACTGTCACCCTCCGCATGGCCTTTTGCTAACACCAAGAACAGGCACTCGGCAGGCACTCCGACTCCGGGTGGGAGGTGGAATCTATTTCGGGAGAGTTGCCCGGGTGAATAAACATAATTGGCCACATGCGCTTCCCCTGAGCGAAGGTTGTCGGGTTTTTTTTTCTGAAAAAGATTCAAATTGAGGCCGAGGCGATTCAATTCGACTCAGGACCGATCGCTAGGCCATGATCATTCCGCTCCGCGCTCGAGATGCATCGAGCCGAATAATATCTGGCTGGATAGTTCTACGGAGCTTGTATGCATTGCTTCCTTCAGTAGCTGTCCAGAATATAGATATGATCAGAGGGTCTCTCTTAGTCATTGATACCTCATGCCTCCAGCCTCGACATTTCGAATCGCAGATACTCTCGCTTCAGTGAGCTCACTCACGATCCGAGGGCTCCGGAAATCCTGAAACTCCTCATGTAATCCAGAAGCTCGAGTCGGGACTGTCCCCTGGAATATTGGGCTCTGGGATAACCTCATTCAGCCGAGTGTTGGTGAGTGAAGTTGACATTAGATTCATAGAACGCGGTTCAATCTCTCCGCGGCTGCCGAGGCACTGGTCTCGCAGAATAGCCAGACAGCTGTTGGTACTAAAAAACTTGTTTTGCAACCATCCGTGGGGTATCTCTGATTCCCAAGGTATGACGCATGAAGTCGCGTCACCTCCGTCCGATTCACCTTCAGAATCAACGAGTTCCTGTCGGAGAAACCGCTGAGAAGTCGCTCTGTATACTCCGATATCTGGCTGCTGCACTGATTGATTCGACACACTACGGCTCGATGAATAATTCAGGATTTCTCGCGGGAATTCTCTCCACCGGTCTAGTGATGAGGAGCGGTCGAACGACCCCAGCAGGCATGGATTGCGGTCTCTGGACCTGTCCACCGGCTCACCCTGGTTGTCAATAAGCACCAGGGGGGAACTGCCAGACCCCGAAGACGAGCAGAGGCTCCATCGGGACGACGGAATGTCGCTGCTCAAAAAATACCATGTCCCGCAGATTGCGGACGATAACGGGAGTTTCCAGCAAGAGCCAATCCCCTCGACAAGATGATGATTTCGAATGGTGATTGAGATTTGGACCTCCTGAGGGCCCATCCGCATACGATCGTGTAGTGCACATAGTTCGTTCGGAGCTCCCGAGACTTCTCATGAGCTTCGAGGCGGCCGATAAATACTTTCATTCAGGCGTGGAACCTCCGCGGCTTTCATTGAGTGAATGAGGGAGCAGAATTCATGGTAGACGAGTGCTTTCTTGCCTCCGGACTGAATCGGAGATACTAAATAAATTGAATCGACATGATTCTCTCCGAGCTTTGAGGCGTTCAAGGCAGAGGATCCCGCAAGAATCCTCGTTCTGATAGATCCTCGAGGCAGAGGATCCCCATGAAGGACACTGTGAAGGAGGCACGCTGACTTAGGGTTGAGAAAACCGCAGTCCGACCTGACCTCAACATCACCGATATTCCCTGACGTGTATTTCTGACTGTAACAACTTTCCTCTGTTGAGAATTGAGCAGAGTCGTCCTTGATCCTCAAGAGAGTTCCTTGTGCGATGTACAAGAGTCGACGTGCTCAAACCGTCTCATTAATTAATCGAATCAAGAGAAAACTGCCGTCTGGAGGACGAGCGATCCGAATTAATTATTCTTTCGGAATGTTGCCATGGCTTCCGAGAATTACAAGCGTATCCGATCCATTGCGCTCACTTCACCCGTCGAGAATTCGAGGAATTCGGCAACGGAGGGCATCGCCGGGGAGAATAAATTCAAAGCCGATTCTCCAGGCAAGGAAATTCATGAACTAGGGGAACTGTTTAGAAGAACTGTCGAAACACGCATCTTCAAAGCTCGGCTCCCCTGCATCTGTATCCCTCAGCATCGGATAATCGAGTCGAGCAAGAGCCAAGTACGATCTGATCATTGAGCCCTGGCCCCGCCCTTGACAGGAAAATCTTGTCGATTGCCCCATGAGCGCAGAATCGCTGTAGCCTGTAGCAGACCGCCGATAAAGGTCTTTTCGAGTCTTCGTTCCCGACACTCGTCAACAGATATCCGATCGGAGTGCTTTGTCGCCGATAGTGCCACCAACATCCCGATGAATCCTCCCCGTATCAGGCCGGTCTTCGACTTCATTTGGAACGGACCTCTCTTCGGCCACTCGATATCGCTCCACCGACTCTGCTTCTATTCTGCAGATTTCCTCATTCTCTTCACGGGCTGCCTGCCCGTCCAACGACGGACGCGATCCGGGACAAGGTCATAATTCATCTCCGAGCCCCCTTCCGCTGAACCATTGCGTGGCGCGACTGCGAACGTTGCGAGGATTACAACGTATGTTTATCCTGATCTCGATTTGATTGAGGGAAATTCTGTAGATTCGGGACGGGACCGGCAGCGAGGGACCTCTGGACCCGAGAGTACGGAGCGAAGTGTTTCCATGTTAATGTATTTACATATTAGGAAGCCAGGACGAGCTCTAGCCGAAAGAGCCCGTGGGAGGAAAATACGGGAATGAAGCTGTTCCCCGAGAGGATCACGCTGGACCCAAGTTCCGGGAACGTTGGAGCTCATCCCAAGAGAAAATGAGAAGCATCGGACCGGGAATTATTCAGGGTCTTACGGGTTCCTCCAACCGTGGCCTTCGGGTCAGCTGAGAACTTACTCAAACCATTGTGAGCCACTCTTAAATCACCGCACTTTCTGGAGAAGCTCAGAATCGTTTCCGTGGCAACAAAGCAGCCGCTAACCCGCTCAGCCGACAAGAGACCTGTCGAATATTCTCACAAGAACGGCTACTTTATTCGTCTGGCTCTGGCGAGAGGACGAAGGATATACGTCGTTGCCTAATCAATTTAATCACTGCGTCATCACGAGTCGATGAGTTTGCGCCTGCGGCGGTTCCTCAGGAAGGAGGCTTCCCAGGAGCGTCTGAGGCGACCATCTCGGCCGGGGTCGTAATCATTTCGTACTTCCCAGCGTGTTCGCTTGCCCGTTATACAGCGGTATGTATGCTTTTGCCTTCTCGATGTCCTCGAACGTCAGGAACTTGGCATCTTTCACACCCAGACGATCATTCAAGTAGAAGAATTCCTGCGGCCACAGAAAAATCGGGGTTATCTATCGAGAGGGGAATGAATAGGCTTGACAATCGTGCGATCGAGAGAACCCGAAAATCGATCGAGCTAATCTTGATGTTTTGCATCATCCGTTCTTGATCGGCTTCGCGAACCGACAGTGTCCTGCTGGCTAAGGTTCAATCAACTTGAGACATTCGAAAACATCCACAGGTGTCCGTAGTAGTGCCCCAGACGACTCACCGGTGAATTCGCACAAGCGACTGCTTCTTCCGGCCAAGTACACGTGAACGTCAATTGGTTGAACACGGTTTGATTCCCGCAGAAGAATGAGTAGGTAAAGAGTTCGTGTTTGCCTAGCGAGGGAATCCAAGACTGAAGGACTAATTCTAATAATACGTATTGATTACCCTCTGATGCACGATGAGAGGAGACGTAGACTCTACTCACCATCAGGATAATCGACCGGATGACAAATATGGAAAATTTTGCAGTCGTTATCGACATCGGCCCAGTATCCGTATTTCTCAGGGCATTTGAAAGTCGTCTTGATCGGCCCCACAATAAGCTCAGCTCCATCGGGGAGGTCGTAGGCTTCTATCGCAATACTCACTGCGAAACCTGGAAGTCGGAGCTTTCTTATTGAGCAATGCGAGGTGTTTGTCTAAAGGAGAAAGTTGGCAGGTCTCGCCGACTTTCGAATTCGAATTCCAGGGACGCTCCGTCCCAGCATGGTCCTGAGCCCGGCGTGCACCCTACTGGGAAATCGAAAGGAAAAAAGAAGCGCATGGAGATAGCACTTGTACGAAAGCCTCGTTTCTGTGACACTCAAGTCTCACCCGCAGCAGCCACGAGAACCGCGAGAAGTTGAGCTTTCATGATATCACTGTCACCTCGAGATTCGGAACTCGTTCCGGTAAAAAACTCTCAAGGCCTGACGATCAGAGGAGTCGCAGCCGATGCGTCGCAAGACACGATTGCGGCGCCAGAGCATTTTCACCTTGACGACGCTGTTTTTTCCTTACGACACGATCGCTCTCCGCTTCTGACGTTGGAGAGGACATGGGAGGAGGTCGGAGTGTACTCGCTTTATGTTTTTTGCTGCCCGTGATGCAAGAATTGCGGTCGGCATACGGCCAATAGGTATGTGGTTCCATCCGCAAAGGAGCATCGCCCTCTGCGAGGGATCGAGTCAGTGAGCCAAGTAGTTCCGCTGAATCTACGCGTAGCCAAGCCATTTCCGCAGATGCTTTGCGGAACGCGGAGGCTGCGCGTCTATTCTCATTAAAAGACGACGCTCCATGCCCGGCCGCTCGAGTCCTCCGAAACGTTCAGGACAGAAGATTCACAAAGTAAAATATCCTTCTTGGCGCGACCGTCGACGATACGCGTTCCCGCGTAAGGACCAGAAAATGTCGGAGAAAAACTGATCAGTGAAAGTTACGTGAACCGAGCGATAGGAGTGATGTTTTTCTGTTCCGGAATTACCTTTCACTCAGTCGATGCTCCGTGACGCTTGCATGTAGACCTGATTCTCTCCGAGCATCGAACATTTTTCTCCTCAATTGGGTCCGGGGATTCCTTCCCCGATTTGTTGAGCTTGCACCGAGAAATTTCAGTCTCGGCGCGATGTAGCGGTCTGGCTTCAGTTCTCCGAGAAGATCGTGCGATAATTCTCTATCGTGAACCCAAGGTCCTCTGTGGCTCCGCTGTCGTTGTTGGGAACACGTTTGGCGTCCACCAACGCGCACACTCGTTATTCAGAGTAAATTACTCCTCGTGGAATTCCTGATTCCGAACTCTGCCTTCAATTTCTTTATTCTGCGCCCTATGTTGGAGCATTCTAATCCCGAGACTTCCTCTGAAGACCGAGGGGGAAACCATGAGCTAGCTGGAGAGACGGGGGTTCCCGATACTACGAACGATTTTCAGAACTCTTCACCCCGGTCCCGTGAAATTATCGGAAATGGAAAGGCGGAAAATCTAGGTCACGATTCTGCGAGGAGACAATTCACTTTCCTAATCTGTAGGACGGCGTCACGTCGTGCCAGTCTCATGCCTTCAAGAGTTCGGTAGTCATCTGTGCTGCAAGAACATCGGGAAAGTCGGACCAGGAATGGCACCCAGAAACAAAGGTAGTCTCGCGTGGTCCAGGGATTATGTGTACTGAGCGGAGGGCCACGTTCGTCTCTCCCGCGCATCCGAGCTGCGAAAATCAGCATGACAATCAGAGGGCAGCTTCCTATTATCTTTTCATTGATTCAGAGAATAGCTCGATCGGCACAATGGAATGGGATACCGAATTCATTCGCGCCCAAAAATAACCAATTCCATTGTGTCATCTAATCATAGCCCCAGAGGAAAGGTACACATTCGTCAATATCAGAGATGGGACGGTCTCGGAACTTTCCGACGATGGAACGACGTCAAATGATCAATTCGGACATCGACGCTAATTTGATTATTCATGGCACGCATAACTAACAGAAAATTGACGCAGACCCTCAAGAAATATCGAGCCACGTAGGCGCTCAGCCTTGACATACGACCTCTCGTTGAAAGTGCCTGCTGACATGACTTGCGGCGAGATTCTTGAATCAGATTCTCATGTTCGCCTCTTATCACGCTCGATCCAGTCGCAAGTGAGTTTTCCCTCGTTGGTGCCGAAGCTGATCTGTTGGGGAGATGAGCAGATGATACTGCGTGGCGACGGACAAACTTCTGGGAGCCGCGCCGAGTTGAGGACTCCCACGCCGAAGCCGCGCCGCAGGCAGTCACTCCGCAATATCCCACAATCCGGTTCTCGAAACAAAACGTTCGCTTTGGGACTCGCTATAGGAATCCCTGAACGAAATTGCGTAGGTCAGATTTGCCCGAGAGAAGTCTCCCGGAGCCTGTCTTAATTCCACCTGGTCCCTTGATGAGCTCGGCAGCATTTTCAGAAACGGAGTCGCGGCAGAGCGGGATACAACGAAATCGATGACTGGCCTCGATGGAAAAAGCATATCCATCAAAACGGACGAGGATCGGAATCACAGCTTAGGCACTCGACTTCCAGACTCGTCTCACGACCATCCGCTTCGTGGGGAGGCGTCCTGCTATGGAGACCCACGGGACACCCTTTCCCTCCGAGATTCTCGCGAGTCTTGCGCAGAGACCGAGTGTCGTATTCGCATACGATAGGCAATGAGATCTGTCAGTGGGACTCGACATCGGAGAACTTCTGCGAGGCAGCGGGTGATGCCTCCGTCAAGAGTCTAGAACCGTGCTTGATTGTCCGGAGCTTGGGCTCCAGGCGTTTCGGCTATTCGATATGCTATCTGATTTACAGAGATTGTACCTTCAGATTCAGAAAGGCCGAAGGGGGTTAATGTGTTCACGGCGCGGGCGGAAGATTCATTCGCAAACAGAAGGCTTCATTCGTGCCTCCAGTATCTCGCCTCCGGAGACAGGATTCTCCTTTCAGATGTGGAGCCCCGATGCGGAGCTACGGGAGAGCGCTACCTGGGTTCTTGTGCGATTCGAAGAAGAGTCGTCATCGAGAAGGCGCACATACATCGGCTTCGGGGGTCGCTTCTTGCGGATCTGATCGTCCAATTCGAGGATGAGCTGTCAACGGGAGATCTTCTCGTCCTATGGAATCGATGTATTCTGTATCTTCACGAGCCCTCTTGGCATTGAGACACTGACTCGAGACTCGAGAGGGACCGGAGGGTCGATGCCCAAGGTCCGAATTCTGGCCAACTACGCAGCTTGGAAAGACATGATCAAGATCGTATCTCTCCTCTTCTCACGGCTTGACAGTCTTCTGGATAAAGTGACGGTCCATCCACGAAACATGCTGACATTCCGAGGTTCCTCGCTAAGAACCAGTTCAGATATTTGAAGGCATCTTCGCTTCGGCAAAGCTGTTTCCCCACACAGTACTCGTGCACTACGCTCAATCTATGCCCGGGATAGAGACTGGGGTCAGACGTTGAATAATCCGATAAGCGGGATCGTCCAGCGCTCTCCCGATCAATCCAAACGCCATCAATCTTCGAAATGCAGTAATGCTCATTACTCACTCGCAGTCAAGGAACTTTTCCGTCAGCTCGAGGCGGCACTTCTTCTGGATGATCACGAAGAGCAACAAACTTGAGCTAAGCAATTCCGAGTTGACCACTCCGGCTTCGAAGCCAAAAGCAATCACCCACAAAGGTAGAAAGACTTTGTCATCCTCGACGATGATGCTCTTCTGTCCCTCGTAAGGCCCGGTCAAGTTGATGAAAGCCGTGTCTGTCGAGCTGGCGTGCTGGCGTAGCTCCTTGAAAGTAGTTATGAGGAAGGCATCTCTGGATATCCGCTCGAAATCTTGCTTCAAGAAGCGGTCTACCAAATCCGCCTTCTCGATCCGGATGTCCTTGGGCCAGAGGAAATCTGCATCACCCAGCGCTGCAAGGAGTCCCCCAAGTCTGGAGGAAAGATCCCTCCAAGCGCCAGAAAGACTCATGATGAAGCTCACGAAGTACGGTGACGATCCATACTCCACGACCGGCGTCAGGTCAAGGCGCCCCGTTTCAGCCCACACCCCTCTTAGGCAGATTTCGTCGAAATACTCGAACTTGATAAGTTGTCCCTCGAGTTTCTCTCTGAGTTCCCTGTTGAAAGTGAAACCGCGGAACCCGGTCCGGCTTGACCATGGCTCGTTTCTCGCACAGAAATATGCGTCGCCTAAACAATATATGACTTCGGGTCCGAACTCGATACCGCGGTCTTTGACCCTCAAGAACGCGTGCCGGCAGCTCGAGGAGTTCACCGCCTCGAAGCGTTTTCCTATTTTGATGTTTGAGCGATCTCTCGCCACCAAGGATATTTTCATCATGCGGGAGTATTCCAGGAATTTCGTGATAAGAGTCTGTCGATTCATATCCCACTCGAGACTGTCGGAGAAAGCTTCCCTCAAGACTTGGAAGGGATCGGTGGGCTTACAAGCGAGGTCTTTGATCCGAGCAAGTTCTGTCTTCTTCGCCTCGAGACATTTTTCTGCGGTAATTATTGTCAAATCGTATGTCGGTGAATCAATGAAGGAGGATCTCGGTGGGAGCGATCACAGAACATAGGGATATGTGCAGGGATGATAACCTCCTGCCGGCGAAATTGAAGTATCCTACGGGAAAACTCACCATATGAATAGCAATACACGTCCAATACCTCCGTGAACCCAGGTTCGCAAATACATGCGTTGTCGTCGTTCCTGCACGACCGATGATGGTATTCTCGACAGGTATTGCAAGCGAACTCGGTGCCACCTGAGGATATGATCAACACATGACATCCATCAGGACTCATTGCGAGGATGAAGTTCAGGAGTACGAAGTCGGCTCCTTTCCGCTAAAAATTGTTGGAAGACTAACTTTCCACGATGCATTGGTTCCCTTCTCGGATGTAGCTCGAATTACGACAGACGCATCGTAATGTATCGGGATCGCATCTCATATTCATCCCGCAAGGTCCACACATTGATCGTCTCGTCACCACTGGAACGAAATTTCCCGCCAACTGACTCATGAGATAAGCATACCAGAGAAGACAAACAGAACCCAAGCGTAATCATTGGGGTGGGCGTCGCAGATGAACAGTGAATGCCGTCTTACATTCTGCAGGAGTTCTTTTTAGCTCGTAGGTCAGACGCAGAACCGATGCCACAGCCAGAACAATGCTGCCGATGAAGACCACGCAAAGACACGAGTAAAGCCCCACCTTCCCCCGTCTCGGCGGAGCGCCCTGCGGCAGTGCATCTGGTAGTCGGAGCGAGAGTCTTAAGAAATGCTGACCCGGCCGGGCGACGTAATATATGCGCATACAGTCATTGATGATGTAGGTGATCAAGGCAAGGAGGATTACCTCTGACTCCGAATCTGAGCACTGAAACGAGACGCGACCCGATAAATATCAAATGCAAAGAACCAACTTACTCAGATATAAATCTTCAATCCACCCCGTTTCGGGTGCTCTTGG